CCTTATTTTAAAACATCAATTTTTATTTTAGAATTCTGTAATTAAATGAACAAAAATGAGCAGTTACATATTTAGTTAGTCTTTAAGGTGCTGCAAGACTAATCTTTTTTTTTTTTAAGTTTTTCTAGTTACAGACTAACTCGGCTGCCTGTCTGAACCTAGATGAAAAAATGAGTCAGTTGAAAATATATTCAAAATACTATGACCAGGAAAACTGCTTTGGAGGAGCAAAGACAATTTCACTGCATAATACATTAACAATCATTTGTGTTGAGAGTTAAAAAAAATACACCAGACTGAAATTTTACTTTAAGACTGAGTTTGTCAATACAAAACATCTGACACAGTCTTGCTATATTATGCATACATCTGTAGTTCTGCAATACATATCTTAATTTTGAAAAGTTAGAATTTTACAATACTGAAATGTTCTATTGGCAATTACACTATCAAAATATGTTCTATTGCTACATAAAATCCTGCATATTATAGAAAGCAAGATTAGAAAATACCAGTCCTCTAGTTATATAGTCTTGTTATGGACATAGTCTCCAGATATAGCAAAAGCAATCAAGGTTTCTAACTTTGATCACTCAAAGATAGTATGTTAGAGAACAAAAACAGTGGTTTTCAGCTGTTGACCAATTCCAGGTTATGTGCAGCTTGTCAAATATTCAGCATCTGTTCAACAATCAAGCTTCCCACTTTACACACGTTTGTTTCATGTTGCTACTGTTACAAACTGTGTTAGAGCCAAAGGTCAAATGGGTGATGAATTGATGACATGGTTCTGCTGCTTGCATCCACCTTTAGAGTCTAGAAGGGAGCGTGGACACAGACTAGATGATACTAAATGGGTACTAGTGCTGAAGTGGTATTTATGTGTGTAGGGTAAACTGAGGCAGCCCTAAATGTGCTAGTAAGCCTCTAAACAGCATAACTCCATTCTAGGATTAAGGCCTGGGAACACCACAGTCAGGATAAGAGCTGCAGACAGTGGAACGACCCTGGGCACCATAGCAACCACATTCTAAGACACTCGAACTGGACTCCAGTTAGTAACCTAACACATTTTGCTTAAGATAACATTCATAAAATGTGCTTAAACTGTCTTGCTTCACTCCTAGATAATAAGCCTGAGAACCAAGTGCTGCACCAACTCAAGGCCATACCCGCCTGCTATAAGAAACATCATCATCATCAATGCAGACTAAATGTTATTACTGTTTTGCTGACATGTTTTGGCATTTAAACAATAACCACCTATATGTATTAATTAATGAGCTGTTACTTTGCAATGGGCGGAGATATTATGTAATCTTTAGTAGTTCTATTGGCTTATGTGCTCATTTCGTCTTGCTGCTAGACCTATCAAATCATTTTTCCTCCGTCCACCTGCTGACTATATAACCTATTGTATAGTGTTAATTAACCAGTGGTCACCAGGGTAACCCCTGCATGTCACTCCATCAGCTGGTGTAATAAATCCTCCGCTTGTTTTCACCTGCATCCAGAGTGTCCTGGCTTATTAGTGGTATTTATGTCTGCTGTTCAGAGCACTCAGGATTCAAAAGTGGCAATAGGACAGCTGGTTTATGCCAAAAGTGGCAATAGGACAGTGGCAATAGGACAGCTGGACATGTCTTCATCTGGCATTTGGTTTACTTTGAGAAGACCAACTGAATTTTGGCCTTTTTATGAGAAAGCAAAGCACCTCTACAGTTCAACTGAAGAACCAGCATGAACCGTCGCCTTTAGAAAAAAATGGGAAACTTCCTTAAAAGAAAATATTTCTGTTCTGTCCCTAACTGTGGCTTCATAGAGCTGCACAAAAATATATTCAACTATCAATAAAGTGACTCCAAGGCATTCTATTTCCAGGCTCTGTCTTCATAAGGTCACCATGGTTTACTTAGAATATCATGCAATTAAGTAAAGACACCTAGATTGCAATTGATTTAACCGCCTAACGCCAAATAGACTAATTCCACTAAACTCTTCGCCCCTTAAATATTCTGAGGAGGGAATTGGGTAAAGTTTCTTTGCCTTCACCACCTAGTGTATGCAAAGTCTCCATCAGCAGACTGTTAAGTATATTCATTTTGAAGCTAGTATTAAAATTTGATGTTTATTACATGTTTTCCCACTGAGCATGTGTTAGTTTCGATCAACAAAGAACTTTATGGTGTAGGACTTCTGAAAAAGCTTTTCCCGTCCCCATTATATACTGTCATAAAAGTTGCAAGTAAAACCTGAAGATGTGTCAGTTTGAATGAAAGAACTGTTGACAGGGGGCCTGAGCTTCAAAATTCAGTCCACATGGGGGGAGGGATAGCTCAGTGGTTTAAGCATTGGCCTGCTAAACCCAGGATTGTGAGTTCAATCCTTGTAGAGGCCATTTAGGGATTGGGGCAAAAATTTGTCAGGGATGGTACTTGGTCCTGCTGTAAAGGCAGGGGACTGGACTTGATGACCTTTCAAGGTCCCTTCCAGTTCTAAGAGATAGGCAATCTCCATCTATTACTTAATTTGAAATAGTTTTAAGCTGTTGACCTTAAGAGCCCTTTGCAATATTCACCTCCATTTCTGAGCTGCAGAAAATATGAGTGTCAGGGCTGATCCCCACTCTGGCACTCCGAGTGCTGAAGGTGGGGGCCCACAAGAAACCTTAAGAGACTCTGCCTGTAGACTCTACTTACAAAAAACTCCCCAAAGTCATAGATTTATTAACTTTGGAGAGTAGCTGCCATCATCAAGGGATTTACCCTAAAAAACAGAGGGGACACTTGAATCCTCCCCAGGGGTATCCCAGCCTCTTATCACAAGAGAGTTTGAAAAACAAGGAAAGAGAAAAACAACTGCAGTCTCTGGTAGCTAACAGGCTCAGTCTAGGAAGAGAGAGAGAGACTCTCACTCACACTCGAATCAATCGCGACCTTGAAAAGGTGATTTTTCTTACCAAAACAAAAGATATACTTGATAAAGCAGACTTGATT